TCTGAAAAGAAATCTGAAAGTATTATTCTGCTAATTGATGGGATGGTGCCAGAAGAATCCAGTCCTCCATATAATTATGTGTGTACAGGTCCAAGGAATGTAGATGACGAGAAAAGGCTCAAACAACTCTGCAGAAGACATAAGATGCTGATGCAAGACCAAAAGGTAGAACCCTGAACTGCAGAACTTGACCTTTGCACATAAATCTAAGAAACCTCCAGAAGATTCCGCTATGGGAATATGGAGACAAGCATCGGTAACATCAAACTTGGTCAGCTAGAGCCCTGGTGCGAAGTGTCATCATAGGTTGAGAAAGGATTCCATAATAAATCGAAGAGGATCTAAAATTGGTTGAAATGAGACAGATCGATGATTTGACACCAATTTCTTCCTTTTTTGAGTACAATGAATAAACAAGAGTAAATCCCAGAAGATTGGATCATCCCTCTACTACTGCCTTTTTAAGTTAAAACTCTCTTATAGCCTTAGAACGAAGTTCCACTCATTGTGAATATGTTGGATGTGACAAGTCAACAGGTTGTGCAGATAAAAGTGGAGGTGATGTAAATTGAATGAACAACCCTGAATTTGGAGCATGAATTTGAATACCCATGGATCCCTGGTGAAAAAATTCTATGTCCAGGAAGTGATGTAAACGTGGTCTCACTGCCCCCCCCCCAGAGGATAGACACCAACACTGTTGTAGATGGTCCGTCAGAACCTAAAATCCTCGAGAATATGGACAGACAAATAGACCTTGGAACCAAAGGAGGAGGGTCAGGAAAAACTAAGAGCCGAGCCAACATTCCCAAATTAGTGCCAGAAAGGCAAAAAACCAACGACGATAAAGAAGAATGGAAACAAGCTGAATCAAATCTTGATTCTGACGTCTATGGAACTCCAGCAAACAATGTGGGATGGAGAAAAGTGGTTTCCCATAATTCCCCGAGGGCAGAAGATGGTAAACAAACTTTTTAACAAAGAATCTCTACCCAATAAATCCCCCAAAAAAAACCAGCCATGAAACTAGAGAAATAACTGAAGAAGACAATCTGACTGAGAAAGATATCAACAAAATCCCCAAATCGTCCTCAAATTGCCAAGGGGAACATTGATAGACTTCCAACAAAATTTGGATCAAAGATAAATACCTCAGGACAGTTGTGAGAGTAAAATGAATCTGAGAAAACTGTGATCTGTGTAAAGTGATCACAGGTTCCAATCGAGACCTCCACAGGTCCAAAAAGGGGGTCCATTTGTTGAGAATCAAATATACCTCTTCCTGGGAGTTATAAGCCAAAGCATGCTGTTCTGATAAACGTGGTTGACAAGTCATAGCTATCTTGTTGCATAACTGAGCAGCAAATCTCCCAGCATGAACAGCAATATCAGGAGAAGGAGGAAAAACCAAGTAGTCACTTGCTGTCCTTGCTGCCAACAAGGAAGGGGTAGAGTCAAATAAAATAGGAGAGACCCCCAAAACCTCACAAACACGAGTAACAAACTGAAGAGAAAGGGGCTAGAGGTGGCTGATTAAAATGATCCTCTGAGGCTGACCTAGTAAAAGAAGGAGCCGAAAAAACAAGTCTAATTTCTCTTCAGCTGGTCCGGGTCATTTGCAACACCACCTTAGAACCCCCCAAAGAGACACCCTCAGTCTGCATATATGTGTCCATCATGCAATGGATTATAACATGGACAGCCTCAACTGACAGTGACCCCCTCCCCTGGTCATTGACAAATACCAGATAACAGAGGAGGATAAGAAGAGGTCTGAATGGCCTATGTAATAGAAACATTAACTCGGGAATTCATACCCATTGGTACGTGGTTTTTTATCTTTTTTGTAAAGTAATTTATAAATATAAATGAAGATATAACCATAGTAATGTAAACCATGTTCAAAGTCACAACATAAATTGTGAATAATCACTTCTGTTTATAGAAATCCATGCCAAATACTTTGTCGAGAAAAAGTGATTACATTATCTGAATGAAGTGCTTATATACAGTCCGTAGATAGAGGGCGCATTCAAGTTGGTGGATAAATTTGTAAATTAGAATTTGCCAGGGGCATTTGAATGGGGTATAATAGACTGGAGCAAGCATTTTCAATACTTAGATGGGCAAAGAGTGGAAACCCTGATGTTTGAGAAATAGCTATAGTGTCAGCTGAGGTAAGTATGTTTTGGAATCAAGTTTTCTCACTCATCATACTACCAAAGTTAAGATTAACGAAGCAGTATCTCACTCAGTAACACTAGTTTCCGGAGTCCCAAACAGTTGGTACTAAGCTCCATGCTTTACAATATATTTGTTAGCAACATACCCTTCCCCCCCTCTAATGTATACACTAAGGTCCAAATATGCAGATCACATCACTATTTAGAGTACTTGAAGTAATGCTTATATTGCCACTTCTAAAGTTCAGGCCTCACTCGATACCGTATCAAATGGCGTAATAAATGGCAGAATTAACTACCTAAGATGCACTGGTAGCATCAACAAAGGTTGCTTTGCCAAAACCATTATCATGATTTATAAAGCTTACATTAGGCCCCTTTTTGAGTATGGTAACTTGAACATAACAGATAACCAATAAAACAGAATACAAAATATCCAGAACAGAGAACAAAATAGCTCATAGACTCCCCAGTTACACTCCACCGGAATACCTACATTCACCATCTGAATTACCTCTCCTAAAAGAAAGTTTCATTCAACTCTCTACCCGATATTACAAATGCACACCAGCAAGGGACACACAAACACAAGAATTCACCCAACTTGCATCCACCAGATATATACATCTTCCCTTAATATGAATCAACAACATCTTAAGTGAAGCTTAATTGTCGTGACTACGATTATATGTAATAACTGAATATCTCATTTCCAGCTCTGGGCACTTGAGTATTATTTTTTTGGCACCTAACCAGTGAAAGTGGTTTTTTCCAGATACTCTGGTTTCTCCCTCACCAAAATTAGATCCAAGACCCTGAGAAAATCTGTTTCAAGTATATCCTTTTCAAACACTGTCAAATGTTTTCTGTTAACAAGAGAAAAACAAAAACTTGACACTGCTTAAATGCCAACTGTGGAAACTTTGAATGTTTAGAACTATCTTCAAATTCCAATCCAACAAAAAACAGTTCTAACATTATTATCATTATATCGTGCATGTATATTGACATCAGTAATGAGATCTAATTACATTACAATTTGTTTCGAATGTGAGTTTGGCAGAGTCCTACTAACTTCTTGTTTAAATGTGAGGGAACTGTATGTACAAATTGTATTTAAAAAAAAATTCAAGCCATTCAGTAAAATTACTGTAAATGTAGTTTTAAAATATCTGGACCTATATGACACGGATACCACAAATTCCATATTTTCAAAACATTTCTGTTGTCTACAAACTCTGAAAATGTTCAATTAATTTTTGTTTATTTGTCCATGTAATTTACTTATGTACCTAATTATGTCTCCTTCATAGGGAGGGAGACATACTGAATTCTTGCATTTCTTTATTCCAACAGTTACATCTGAGCACCATTCTTATATTTCTGAGCCAGTCATCTTGAAACTTGGCAAGCATATTCCTTGACTGAATGTACATTTTTTATATATATTTTAGTATTTGAATCAGCCCCTCTTCTGATTTTATGGTTTAAAGATTAAACATTAAATACACATTTTGGCCTACAATTCCTTTATATTTCCATCAATCAAAATGAAAAACAAGTAGACTGATATAAAATTTGTGCCTTTCTTTTTACCTTACAGGGGGTCAAAGCTTATAAAAAAAAAGAAGCAAAATAATTGTTTTGGGATAGACATTCCTTTACATTTTGATCAACTTAAAAGAGACTCTGTACAACAATACAATGCAACAGCCCACGCTGACCGAAACAGACAGATATAGAATTTTTATGATTTCACAAGGATCAAAGATAAAACCATTTTGCAGAAGTAAGATTTTGGCCAACCATTCTTCTATATTTTAACTAAAGTAATGAGATTTTGTACAAATATATCCTATAACAATCAAACAAACTAAAGGATACATATTTCAAATTTGTGTTTTTCTTTTGATTTTATGGAAGTCATAGATAAAAAATAATTGCAATATACCTGTACACCTTTTCCTGTACACAAAGTAATGTAATCAGTGTTGACAGAAAATAAGTAACAACTGTGCTGAAATGACAACTTCAAAATGTAGTGTTGGATAAATTTAATGCAGTTATGTTTTATGATGTATTCAGCATATTTTACCCTAAGTCTTTGATAACATGCATATTAAACTGTCTTTCTTTAATACCTATACAGTAACAATGGAGTAAAAATCTACTCATTTTAAAACCCTTGATTACAATTCTCACCAAATTAAAGTTTTAGTTAAACTTAAAATGATAAACTGACTCTAGTTCTTAATCTTGTTCTTGGATTTTACTCATTATTCAAATGATGTCACAATTAATAGTGAGTATAAATATCCACTGACAATACTGTTTACAAAAAGTTATGATTTGACAACTCTATAGATCCAACTACAGTATAAAGATGCTGGGATGTTTCAATACTAGTTTAAAAAATTATGTTAATGTTACATCCTATAACAAATTACTTTTCATTTTGTAATGTTAATAAAGACTATACACACACACATGGACTCATTGCATAAAAATAAAGCTTATGTAACAATGACAATTAGAATGAATAACCTGAATATGAAAAAGACTAAACAATGACAAAACGTAACGTGAATGGAGATAAACATTTATCAAAACATGCTTACAACTATTGAGATTAATATTATCGCACACTTGTGTACAGAATTCAGAAAAAATTATTACACATCTCTACTGGCAACTTGTTTTTTTATACCATCCTGGAGAGTTTTGTAGCACTTAAACAAGAAACGATGGTTGTATAAACACTTCATAATACTAGATCTTTCAATAATTATATTTTGACTACATAGTTTATGCACTTACTTGTAGAGTACCAAGAATGGCATTCTCAAACTCCCTGTATGCTTCCCAGATCATAGCGCCCTGGGTAACATGGAGGCCTACAGCAGTAATTGCCCGTTCAAAAACACTCCGAGCATTTTCCATGCCATCTTTCACTCCCATACATCCAATAGAAAATTGAGCATATTCTAGCCAGAGAGGTACAGCTGATGATCAAAGAGTAAAACACAATTAATTAGGTACAGCTGATGATCAAAGAGTAAAACTTAATTAATTAGGTGCAGCTGATGATCAAAGAGTAAAACACAATTAATTAGGTACAGCTGATGATCAAAGAGTAAAACTTAATTAATTAGGTACAGCTGATGAACAAAGAGTAAAACACAATTAAAAAGTACCACAATATATTTGAATTTTGCAAGCAATTATTTAATATAAGTTTCGTATGATATGATTAACAATTATTTATATCTACTATAGTTTAAAAATATAGATACATGTAGTAAATGTGTATGCATTTGAGAGATTATTTAGCTATGAAAGGTAATGTTTATAAGGGGTGTTACTATATTTGAAATATTAGGATAACAGAAATATTAATTATTTTAACAGTAATGAAGGATATACTTTAAAATAATTAAACTTTAATGAGGGAGTCTTCAAAATAAGCTGTTGTATTTGTGACCCTATACATTAATTGTATTTTACTCTTTGATCATTAGCTGTACCTAATTAATTATGTTTTACTCTTTGATCATCAGCTGTACTATACAAAATTTTTCATTTTATCTAATCTTCACTGTATGCTTTCAAAGGGGAAAGTAATAAAAAAAAAGGACATTTGAAGCAGAAATAATGCAACAACAACAAACTGGGACTGGGAAATGTTTGGAGAAAGCAAAAATGGAAGAATGAATGTGGAACATGGGAAAATTTTAATAAATTCATGGAAAATTTCTTTATATCTATTTCCACACAAATTTCAAAAAAAGACGTAGATCTTAGACCCAATCTCATCTTTTTTTCCCTCTTGAGACATTCTGTGCGTATCAAACTCAACTTTAAACATGGATTTTAAATGATGTTTTAAGCTAATTTCTAGTAGTTAACAAAGACCTTTGGATTCTTTTTTTGTTCATTATTTTATGCTACTTTCATAGACCTGTGGATGGATTGGTTAACTGATGAGTCCAAGCTTGCCATATCGGAAACTGAAAGAGAAAGTGTTGGTAAATTATTTGAAAGAGCTGTACGTGACTATCTGTGTAAGTACTAAAAATAAGATTAACATTATTCTTTTGTTTTATGACTAACATGAAAAGATTTAAATTTAAAAATATATTTCACTGGTATGATGAAAATAGATTTCTATCCATAATTACCTATATGTGTCCCTAAATATGTATACCCGCATATTAATATTCATATGTACCCAGACTTTGAGTATATAGAACAGGACATTGCAAGGATTGTCAAATTTTATTCATTCATCATTTTCAAGTCAATGAACATAACTTTGCTATAAGCAACATGGTACAAAACTTGTGATAATCTATACCTAAGAGCTTTGTTATCTTGTGATACGTTCTCTAGAAATTATGACAGTAGTACTTTAGATTAATCAGTTAAGTATTTTTATTTGGTCTATTTTCTTGCCAAGCATGTTTTTAGTACATATAGACACTGGAAAGGTTACATGTTGACACGTGAATGTGGCTGGATAAAGAAACTGTATCAGTAGAATTGTTACATTGAGTAGGAAAGAATTATTTCTGTAATGTTACATGATCTGTGTTTGACGTAATTAAGCTGTGAGTATTTAACATTTGATAAAGACGTATACTTATTGGGAAATTTTACATTAATTTTTTTATTTAGTTTATATAAAAACCCATAGTAAAAATATTAAAATCACTAGTAGGCTATGAAAATTACATTAAATGCATTCAAAATACAATAAAAACAACTTACTTGATTCATAGAATCTTCAATATATGTTTACAGACTCACCTGCAGAAAGAGGAAATATCTCACTCATCTTTTCCCGAGCATGTCGAAGTTTATCCAAATCACCTGCTTTTCGTAACAAGTTGATTCTTTGTACATGTGGATCATAATTGAAAGGATTTGTTTCTATCTGTAACAAAACAAGAAGGTTATTGGCTAAGTAATAACATACATCATTAACAGATTTGTAACATAATTCAGCATTACACTATAATAATGAATCAGTATAATTTGGAAATTTCACAGAAAATGTTCATTATCATTTCTTTAAGCTGCAGGTATCAAAGAGCATTTTCTTTTTGTAGTACAGGTAGGAACAAATGCTGTTGGAAATTGTAAATCAGAAGTATTATTTAAAAAGTATAAAGAACTTATCCCAGATTTAGATCTGGCGATGAATTGTTTAACAGAATCCAAGTTATAAGTGAAAGATTATTGGGGATATGCTTACAACAATAGGTGAGCTAGTTGGGTGAGAAAGCAAAAGTATTGTGAGCATGGTTTATGAAGTTATGAAGTCGTACTTATCAACCACTGACATGTATTACACCATTGCCTTCCTCATTCCTGTTCCCAGGGGGTTTAGACAAAGTATTAAGAAATTACTGTTGGTGCAGAATGCATGTACATATATAGGGAATCCAGCTATCAGGTCTAATCTACCTTGCTTGATTCCCAACAGTTTTTAAACATATCCATCACTGTGTGCTGTTTTTATTTTATTTTTTTGTCAATTTTGTGGCTGTTTGTCAACTTCATGAATAAAAGTATATGGTAAAAGTGTGTGTACTATAAAAATATCACATACTACCTACATCATGTTCAAAATTCCCAAAAGCTACATTTGTTAATACGATTTCAACATCATGAAATCCAGTATGTGATCAGTTGCTCATATCAAAAGTGACATGTTACAAATCACCCCTCAACTACAGTAAACAATAAATAGTAGCAAGTTTTGTAATTTGTTAGGTATATAATATTAAATATTTTTGTGAAAAACCTTGGTCATATGACTTCTACACAACAAAAATTGATATATTGCTTTACCTGTATTAGGTTTTGTGCTAATTCCAAAATGTGTGTTATATATTAAAGTTGAAACCTTCATCACTGTAACAAGAACCTTCTGATAGTTTGGAGAATATCTACTTATATATGTTCATGGAAATTGTTTTAGATTCATTGTGAATGAAACAAAAACTGTCAACATGATCTGTAATGTCCTGTAATTTAGCACCTGGCAAACAAATCCTAGTCCTTATCTTTTTACCCCTACTAGAAATACTTCATCTGTCAACACATTTAATGGGAGGACCCACCCCCACTATATAAACCTCTTGATTATTTCATTACCCACTGCAAGTAACCACAAGTTCCAGTCTATTAGAGAATGGTACCCAAATGTTAACTGAATTTACCTTTACAATGCTAACTTTTTACTACTGTATATTTTTGTAAAACTAGCACTTTCACACACACCCCCCCCCTAAAGCAACCATTACCCAAACTCTATTACCTCTTTTGCTTCATTGATTTCTGCTCCTAATCTGCTACTCTATAGATTGAATGAATTAATTTTGCTGTGGTGAGAAACAGGAGCATCCCAAGAAAATCTGCTTTCAGTGATCATGCACTGAATATTCTACCTGATCGGTGTCTTAATTGTTAAGGGTTAAATGGAGATTATGAAGATTTTTCATACTTTTATTTAATTCCTAAAAAAAAGGCTGTAGTTTGG